GGGTAGCCCTCATCTTCCTAGCAATCCCAGGGGAGTCAGGGGTGCTGTGAGCTCCAAGGATGGTCATTGTGGACTTTCCTGAGAGGGGCTGTCAGTCTTCTTGCTGAAGAAAAGGGGATATTACAAACCCAGATTATTCCCATATGAGGATTCCCTGATGGTCTTATACAGGCAAGAAAGATCTGGCACAGGACTTACACCCCAGGGTCTTCTGCACCTCATGTATTTAAAAGCAAGGGTGAATCTTCTGTCTTCTCCTGCCTTCTTCCTCTTCTCCCAGATCAGATGTTACTTCACCAACGCAACCTCTCCTCAACTGTTAAGCAACTGCTGCAAGAGAGGGATCTTTTCTTTGAGATAGCTGTCCCTTGAAGTCCAGCCTCCCAGGCCCATTTAGTCACTGACAGCGTTGCTGCAGCTATCTGATCTCCCAAGAGAACTGGGTGAAGCGTGAGCAGTGAGGAGCTGATGCCCTATGAACCTGTATTCCACTTTTCCCATTAGGGCAATTTATAATCCTGCAGGTCTCTACCTTTTTTAAAAAAAAAAAAAATTTCCAATGCCCCAATACACATTAAAGATACTTCCATTAGCTGCAGCTCCAGGCTAACTAAAAGATCAGCACCTCCATTTCATAATGCAGCAAAACACAGAATGAACAGGACACGGACAGAAAGAGAAACTACAACTACTTATCCTCTTGCCCCAGCCTGAGCCCCAAATAGCTCCATGCTTTCAGTTTTATCAGGAAGGCTTTGTATAATGAAATTCTTGCAGCCTCCTATGGTTAATCTATTAATGCCTGTGAGAGCAGGCTGAAATCTTTGCTCTGTATATCATTCTGGAACCAAAATGCCCAGTAAATACTATCTCATCAGCTCTGTTCTTCCCTCCTTATTTTACTGTGAAGAAAGTGAATTGCTCTCTTTTAGCAAGCATATGTGTGTAGGTGCTGGGAGAACACAGGAACGCCATAATAGATTAGACCTGTGGTCGTCTTATCCCAGGATGTTATCTCCGGTGGTGGTAAGCAGCATACGTGCACCGCATGTACAGTGACTGTTCCCTTCTGCACTCTCCCTGTGTCTGGCAATTTACAGTTGAAGAGAGCCAGAGGTCACATCCAGACCAGCATGTTCCCTATCCAGCCCCTGCTCTTTGGGAGCTCCTCTAATCTTTTTGAACCCACTTTTTATTACCACTGGATGTTGTGGAGGGCAACACTGCAACTTAATTAGCAGACATGATGGGAAACACATCTGACTCTACTCAGGTGCTGAGGTCAGTGATTCCCAAACAGTGGGTCAGATTTCTCTCCAAGGACGCAGAAGGGATGCTGAGCATGTGAAAGGGCTGGGAAGATGCTTCAGCTCTCCCTTGAACACATCCACCACACACATGAGGTGAGGGAGGGTATGCTGGGGAGTAGGGAATGAGGACAAAACAGCTTCCTGTTTTGTCCTCATACATGTCTAACAATCTAAAAGAAACAGCCCTAGCTCTTACTAGCAAAGATTTGATCTTGGAGCCTTTGCCATCCAATAGTACTGTCTTAGCCATGTCTCCCATCATGGCCATGGTGACCCGTGCACTGTAAAACCTGGTTTACTGTGAAGAAATGGAGAAATGAAGACTGAGGTCTGCATGCTATTCAGGCAGTTAAAGAAATATACCTTGTCTCTGCAGCTCTTCCCCTTCCCAGCCATCCTCTCATGGGGGGGAAGCCAGAGATGCTGTACCTATTCCAAGGACTCCCTATTGCTCTGCAAGGCAGGTCTGTGTTTCTAGAGCAGCACAGGTTTCATGGGGAACAACCCCACACAACATTGCAGTCCGTTCTCCCTACTGTGCTGGTACAAGCGGCCAAAACTGGAGCCATATTAGCCAGCAGGGAGGCAAAGCTCCGGGGCACTGAGCTTTATGCAGCAGAAGGGATCTACCCCAGCTTGCCTTATTTCCAGCCTGGATACTACCACATCTCTCTCTTACCCAAGAGCATTAACCTAACTTATCCTGAAAAAAACACAGAAGCATAAAAACTAGGACAGCTGAATGGGATGAAAATCCTGCTCCAGCTTTTTAAAAACTGCAGTCCTTCCCCAGAAAAAGGCAGCTTGATCTTCCTAGTCTTTTAATTGTGATACCATCCTTCGTGGCACTGGGCCTGGGCATTCCAAAGATGACGGTAAGATGCTCTGTCACAGTGAACTGTGCCCACTGGTGGACTCCCTTGGCAGGGAAAGCAAATGACAACAGCCTTTGCCTTGCTCTGATTTTGTTTTACAGGCTCACTGAGCTAGGAAGAAACCTAAAGTTGATTTCAAGCCACTGGCTTGCTCTGATGCTTCTTAACCTGCCCAGCAAGTTGGGTCTGGATCCTTCTGCAGTGGTTCACACCAAGACCACGTTAGTGTCCGGGATTTGGGGTTCAGAAACTTCCAGGAACCACTGGCTAGCTTGCCTTTTTCCCAAACTGGACGTTACGGAGACCATCAGGCAGCTGACTGGTGGCGTCCTGCTGCTGAGAGAGGCAGCGCTGCTGGTTCCCATCTCATGCAGCCTTTGCCGTGAGCTGGCTGACCTTCGCACCAGCCTGTCAGCCCAAGCAAGTGGAAAATGCTGCTTGTCGTAACACGTGCATTTTTACACTCACTGCGTACAGGTTCCTCTCATGACAGAAGGTAAAAGCCTGCAGCAAATCCAGTCCTGAGTTTTTGATGGGTGAATCCTGCTGAATTTGGTGATCCTTGCCCATTATGTCATTCCAAATGTCTCCACTTTGAGGTTGGCTTTTCCCTGCTCTCAGGTTTTCCTTTCTGCCTAGCCAGAAATGATTTACATGTTTGTTTACTCTGAGCTACATTCATCTGAGTCATTCAGCAGCCCTCTCCCCACAATCAAATTACAGCAAATTTTGAATTGGAGTCTCTGCAAGGGGATATTATGTTGGTCTCATTCTGCCATTGGGTTTCAAGAAAAACTCACCTCTGCTACTAACACTTGAAAATTCAACAGCATCATAATCCTGTGTTCTTGGTTACTTTACCAAAAAAGGAGAAACTCCAGGCAAAGGAATTACTCTATATTTACACCAGTGTAACAATTAGTAGACTCTGGCTCATTTTGTACAAATTACACTACTGCACTTGTAGGAATAATCTTTTCTGTTTCAAACTAATTTTAGCCACCCTTGAGTGGTGATTATCAAACTCTTCCATCTGTTGTAGGGAGAAAATTACTTGTGTATAGCTTTTGTAAATTTTTTCCTCTGAGGTATGTTTTCAAGAACTGTATCTCTCAAAAGCAGCATAACCATGTTATTAGCAAGACTCGTAACTCAGCTGACAGTGCCTTGTCTATTGAATCCACAACTTAAAAAGATCTCAGGATTGACATTCTAATAATTTTTTTGTATGGCTGCTTGCAAATAAATCTTTACAAGAAGTAAACCAATCTAAGAATTTTGTTTGCCACTACTTCAAACGCAATTCTAAGTAGGAGCTATTCAGGTATGCTGCAAAAGTAGAAGGTGGTTAAAGAAAATAACAATGCCTTTTTTAAAATATATTGCAAAAACAACGGGATTTCAACATGCTAGAGTGAAAGCAATGCGTGTCAGAATATAAATAATTCTCTCAAAATGCCAGTAATAAGGAATTCTGTTAATGATCTATACATATACAAGACAAATTAAAGCTGCTCAGAGGTTAGTCTTCAACTCAAGTCCTTTTTTTTTAACTAGTTTCCTTTCAGAGTGGAAGGAAAAAAAAAAAAAAAAGCAGCCATAGCCCTTTTTCTTTAATTTTATTGCTAGAAATGTGCCCTGTAACAGTAAGTGAGCTACAGCTCTTGCTAGGAAGTCTCACACTTAGCTTATTGATCATTGCTGTATCCCAGAATAAATGCACAAGCAAACAGAAGGGCAAAGCCACGGCAGAGAGACCCCAGGGCTCACAGTGAGCTGGTCTGATGTTACGGTCAGTGTAAGCATTATATATCTTTATCCATCCTAGACCGTTTAAGCCGCGGATGGTGGAAGTCATGCGATGTTTCTCCGGCTGATAACTACCACCAAGCTACATGCAGAGAAATTAGCAAAATATACTCACGGCCTGAACACAGAGTGACACGTCTGGTGACACCCGAGTATGGTATTTTTTCTTGAGAAATGACGCTAGATTTCTTTACGGGGTTTTAACACTCGATAAAAGAGTTAAGTCTCCTTTTGAGCTGTCTGAAAATACAATTGGCTAAACAGTCTTAGTAAGCTGCCTAAGGATATCGCTTTAACTTCTGAAAAGCATTTTGGAAATAGTAATGACGGTAATTTGCATTTACACAGTACCTCCCTGACTGAAAAGTGTTTTCGTAGGCTTCTGAGTAGCTTCCCAGCCCCGAGAAGCAGTAACGGTGGATAAGCCGTCCTTTTTTTCTTTTGCACAGAAAGAAAGCAACACTGAGAAAGATTAGAAGACTTGCTAGGATCAGACAGGATGTCCATGCAATAGAAGTAAATAACCCTCCTGAATCTTTCCCACCCGGGAACACGCACACGCATATACACACACAGGCTCTTCAACCACATGACCGTCCTCTTTCCAAAAACCTTCCCTTCCTTGCCTGTCTCACCGTGCCCTGGGCGCTGCCTTACAGGCTCGGTTACGAGGGGCTACAGCTGACGCAAAACCTGGGGTCTGCGTTTAGCCGAGAGGAAGATGAAATATTTTTATAATACGATGGAAAAGTTAAAAGGAAGCGATCACACGGACTGCAAGTTGGGAGTTACGCTGCTCCTCCGGGCAGCGGCGAGAAGGCACGGCTGGCTCCATGCACGTCCCTTCCAGCACGCAGAATTTTAGGGCAGGCTTGCATATTACCATATCCATCACCGTGACTAACGAATCCGTTGTCAATGCCACCAAAGATATCGCACAAGCAGAATGTTTTCCTACCGAAGAGACCACTGAAGTCACAGCTCTGTAGTAAACAAACGAACTTACAACGAGTCCTGGAAATCAGCACCGGCTCTGCACGTCCCTTCCAGCACGCAGAATTTTAGGGCAGGCTTGCATATTACCATATCCATCACCGTGACTAACGAATCCGTTGTCAATGCCACCAAAGATATCGCACAAGCAGAATGTTTTCCTACCGAAGAGACCACTGAAGTCACAGCTCTGTAGTAAACAAACGAACTTACAACGAGTCCTGGAAATCAGCACCGGCTCTTCCTTCTTTTTTCTTTTTCGGCTGGGGAATCTGATTAAACTACCAGCGGCCGGATGCCTGGTCGCTTGGGCGCTGCGAGCAAGCATGGCAACGCCGAAGCCGCC